CCAGCGTGGCTCGCTGGGGGCAGGGGGATTTCGGGTTGGTATTTTGGGGGAGTTTTCCCTTTTTTTTGCGTGTGTGCTTTTTAATTTTTGGCTTTCTGGGGTTTTTTTGTATGTTTTTTGTGGGTTTTTTTTGGGGGGGTGATTTTTTGCCTTTTTTTTTATTTGTTTGTTTGGGGTCGGTTTTACTTGTTGTTTGTTGTTTTTTGGGGGGTTGTGGTGTGGTTTTTTTTTTCCTAGTTTCTAACACTTTCGAAGGCAAAACGGATTTAGGGTCCCTTTCCCACTCCCCGCCCGGCAGGAGCTGCCCTCGTTCCCCCTTGCCCCTCGGGTGATCCCCGCACACACGTGGAGGCAGAACTGACTGCTCTGCTCGCTTTTGGGGTGTTTTTTTTTGAGGTTCGGTGAGGGTTTTTTCACACCTTTCGCAGCCTGGAGAAGCCCAGCAGGATTTAGGGCTCCTCATACGGGGCGGTTGGGCCGGGGACCCTCGGCTCCCCAAAGCCCCTCGGCTCAGTTGCTCGGTGGTTTCTCCCCCAGGTGCGAAGCCGGGCGAGGAACCGGCTGGAGATTCTCCCAAGGCTGAAAACGAGTCCCAGCCCCTCCACGGCTCCGGCATCTGTAAATGGTTCAACGTCCGCATGGGCTTCGGTTTCCTCTCCATGACCGCCAAGGGCGGCGCGACCCTCGACTCGCCCGTCGATGTCTTCGTGCACCAGGTACGGGGCCCGATCCCGCGTGGGGTCCCCGGGAGGGGGGGGGGAGCATCCCCTGGCACCCCCCAGGGTGGATGCGAAGCGGGATGGAGACGCTTAAACCTTCTCCGAGCGTGGTCACAGTTCCCCCGACGTCCCCGATGTCCCCGGGGCGATGCGGTGGCGAAGGGTGGGCAGAGCCGCTCGCCCCCCCCCCCCCCCCGCCCCGGGGCTCCTCTCCGGGGACCGGTGCTGTAAGATGAGCCCTCAGCGATTTAATTTTCCTCATCGTGGGTCCCCGGGGAGCCCCACGGAGCTGGATCCTGGGGAGCAGGTGCCCGCGGGGTTGAGCGGGATGTGCCGGAGCGGGGATGCTGCTCTCAGCCCACGAAGGAATTCGGGGGAATCGCTGATTTCCCCCCGGGTACGGGGTCCTGGGAGCCCTGAGCAGGGTAGGGATGCAGGATCGGGTTTTCCTCAACTGCTGCTCATCCCTGGGGGAGGGTTATCTCTGCCCCGGCCTCTCGTTTCAGCTGTGGATGGCACAAAGGCGTGCGGGGCCGTGTATGTGGCTCCTATGGATCCTGTAGGATAAGTGACAGGCTCGTGGCTGGATTCGATATAAAATCACCTTGCCGAGGGGGAAGCCCCACGCGTGTCGGTCATCCTGTGCCGAGGGAAGTCGTGGGTTTGGGTCTGCGGCTGCTTGAAACCCCCCCCCGGCTTGTGGGGGAGGATCTGCCGGGGGACCCCAATTAGGGGTTTGGAGATGGTGGCCAAATCGGGGCAGGGCGGGGCGGGACGTGGGGTTTGGCATCGGGCTGTGTGGGCAGGGGGCTGCGTGGGCAGGGGTCTGTGTGGGCAGCGTGACCCGCGTCCCCTCGCCCTGGGGACGGGCTGGGGGGACAAAGTGAGCGGGAGAGAAAGGGTCTCGGGTGTCTCTGGAGGGACCCAAGAGTGAGTTTTTGGGAACTGCCGGGAGCTGCTGCACGAGATTTGGCCTCGGGCAGCGCGGGGTGTGTGCGGTGCCCACGGACCGGCACCTTCCGGGGCTGCTGCTCTCCCTGTGGGCCCCGGCTCCCCCAAATCGGGGTCTGTCCCGTTGTCTGTTGGGGGTGCAGGTCTGAACTCCTGGGACTCTGGGGTCCCGGGGGTCTCTCACCCCCTGTTTCTGCAGGCAGGATCCCAGCAGGATCCTGGCGCGGGAATGACCAAAGGAGAAGCACATCCCTTCTCCAGCAGCGGTCTGGTGGAAGTGCCTTGGTAGGAGCTGCTGTCCCGGGTCAGAAACACAGCTGAGTTTGGAGATGAGGGCTCCAAATTAGCCAGGGAAAACCCAGATCCTGGTGCTCTGGAGAGAGAGCAAATGGGTCTTTGCATCTCAATGTAGCACAGCGGGACCCAGCGCCCGTGAGGGGAAACCTCCCGCCCTCCCTCCCTTCTCCTGGGGGTTTATTGCCCCCAGACAGTCTGGTTTCCTGATTGCTCTTGCTCACATTCCTGCAGGAAAAGAGAATTAGCCGGGATGGCTCTGCTGGGAGCATCCCACCACCCGGGAAGAGGTGCAGCCCCCCCGGTGTCCCCCATTTTGGGAAGCCATGGGGTCCCGTGTGCATGGGCATATGATGAATGCCGGGTAAAAGTGGGTTAATTTGGGGAGCAGAGGAGCAATGTGTGTGTGTGTGAGGGGGGTTCCCCTGCCGCAGTGAAGGGCAGGGGGCTGCTCCCCATGCTGAGCTTTGCACCACCAGAGGAGGGGTGGCTTGGGTTCTCCTTCGGGCAAGGCTTGCCCTCCTGCCCCGTTCACTGGTGGCCCAAAGTGGCTGTGGGGCTGATCCCGGGGGGCTCTCCCACCGTTGAGCATCCCACCTACCGGCTCAACCCCAGCCCCTTCCTCGGTGAGGGACCAAACTCACACTTCCACACCGGCCTCGCTGCTTTTTTTGGGTGGCCGACGAGGATCGGGTCCTTACACCGATGCTTTTCCCATCCCAGCATCCTGATGCTTCCCAAGGGCTGGTGGTGGCTCCACTCCCCGGGAGGGAGTCAGGCCTGGGAGGGCAAAAGCCACCACCGGCCGGGGAGGGAGGGGACAACACGCCGGGCTCAGGGTGTTGTGCCCAGCACCCACTGGACACCCCAAACCAACCCTTGGGGTTTAACACCCTAGATCCCCCGTCCCCCCCTCACCCCCAGTAACCCGCTCCCTCCCCTCTTCATTTACATACGTGAATGATGACCCACAGGAAGTAATTGTGGGAGAAAGAAGGGAATTGGCCTCTTTAGATCTATTAAATCACTTTATTACAGGAACCAGGTCTGAATGGCCCCGCTCTGCAGGGAGCGCGTCTCCATCTCCCTCTCCCTTTATCTGATCACAAAGAGATTAAAATCTCGGCAGGACAGGAGACTAACAGGGCTCCTCGGGGCTGCCTTTTCCTGGCTTTGTGAGCTAAAAATGAGGCATTTGGGTTCAAATGCCTCCCCTGGACACTGGAGATGGATTCATCTGGGGGCTGTGAGGAGATGGGGGGGGATGAAGCAGGGAGGAGAGAAGCAGGTCCTCCCTGGGAGGTGAAGGGCTGAGCAGCACCCGTGGAGGGGTGAGTGTTTAGGTGGCAGAAATCAAGCTGGTGTAGCTCCCAAAGCCCCGGTGGTCCTCTGGGGAAGTGGCTCCTGGGTTTGCTCCGTGGCTTACAGGACTTTGGGGCTGCCAGGGAAGGCAAACTGGGAAAGGGAGAGCAGCAAATCTGGGCAGCCCGTGGTCCCCGGCTCAGAGCCAAGGGCTGCAGCAGGAGGGGTGAGCACAGCCCAGCAGTGCTGGGGCTTGCAGCTCATCCCCAAAGCTGGCCCCACTAGCCCTGGCTCAGAGGGAAAGGGAAGGGGCTACCAGCCCTTGGGAACCCCTGCTCTGCTCCGTGTCTTCAAACCTTTCCCCAAGCCAACAGGTCTAAATCCTTGATGAAGGCAAAGTTAGTTGGGTGGGTTGTTTGTTGTTGTTGTTCCTTCTCATATTTTGGCAAGGAACTTCTGGGCAGTGCTGGTGGCACTTGGTGGCATTGCCTCGTGTGTCCTTGTGGGGCTGTAAGGCTGTGGTTGGACCTGCTGGGGCTGGGATGGGGCACTCCTGCCCTGCCAGAGCACCCGGGACAGTGTGGCCACGGGGGGGCTTCAGTCTGCCCACTGGCCCCTGTTGCTACCAGGAGCCTCATGGGGGTCAGGGCTGGAAGGGGGCTCGTCCCCTCTTGGCTGAGCTGGGGAGAGGGGCAGAGGGGGCTGGTGGGGCCATGGGTTTTGACTGAGCCAAGCTGGGCTGTCACCCACCTGCACCCACGTTGTCACCCTGTGCATGGCTGGGGACAGAGGCTCGAGCATGATGTGAGGGCTTTAACAAATATATATATATATATATATATATGACAAAAAGCACGTGTTTGGAGGCAGCTCCATCTCTGACCATGCAGGAGAGCAAGGGCAGGGGCACACGGGGGGGCTTCTGGCAAGAAGCAGGGTCCAGCCTTCCCGCGGGGTCCTCTGCTGCCTTTTCTGGGCTGCAGGGCAGGATCTGGAGGGGGATTTGTTCTGTGCAGAGCTGGGGGGGATCAGAGGGGAAGGGGGGACCCGCTCAGAGAGGTGCCTCGGGCTGCACTGCCCAGGGGGGCAGGGGACAGACCCAACAGCTCGGGTTTTTTTCCCCCACATTTCCACACCCATCGCTCCTGCCTCGGCTCTCTGGGAACAGGGTCGCCCCGCAGCAATGGGTGGGCACCCCGAGGCGCCGGCCTGGGCGGCTGTAGGACCTGGTTCTGTGTGTCCCCGGGGTGGAAACGCCAGGTCGGCATCCCTGCTTTTTTGAGGCGGGGGGAGGGAGAGGAGCAATTTCTTTGTGCCTTTTTTTTTGTTTTGTTTTGTTTGGGGTTTTTTGTGTGTGTGTGTTTGATTTTTAAATAACGGCTGGGATAAAATCCTGTGGCACGCCTTGTGCTCCAGGTCCTGATGGCAAATAGTGAAAGAGAGCGGCTTTATTCCACCCCTGAGACTCCCTCAAGACGCACACACACACACAAAAAAAAAGCCTCCTGTCTCTGTCTAAAGATTAACTGATGGCTGGAGGCACATCCCTTCCCCCAGCTCCCCCGCTCAGCCCCAGGGCGAGGGGCAGGGAGAAAAAAAAGCACCCTTAAATGGTATCCTAAGATAAAAAAGCCCAAATGAATGGGATTGCTCCTGATGGAGCCTGGGGAGGGCTGGGATGGAGCCGCTGGCTTGGAGAGCCCCTTGCCCTGCGCCTCCGGTTCCTCTTGTTTCCTTTTCCCTATTTCCTGGGTCCTAAGAAGTGGGATGAAGTTGAAATCACGGATGGACGATGCTGCTCCCGGCCGTGCCCCTGCTTTAGTATTAGAGTAGGAAATTAATATGCAGCAGCTAATCCTAATTAGCTGCCCCCTTGGATGAGTGGGGGGGGGGGGGTGGCCCCCTCCCTTTGAGGCAAAACACAATTGAAGGAGCCTAAGGTGTAGGAGTGGGGCAGGTAGCTAATGAATTAAACCCCTTGGTCGATATTGTTTCCCCCCCCCCCATAATTAGTATCTAGCACTTAATTTCGCTGGTTTAAAGTGGAAAGTGGCTTTAATTTTGTTTTAATTTTGGGGGAAAAAAATTGCTGGGGATGTTGCTTCAGAGGAGAGACTGGAAACCCCTTGTGCTCTCCCTGATGGGGTCACACAGGTATTACCCTCTTTATCCCTTTGCTGGTCCCTGGAACTGAGGCAGGACCCTCTTTCCCAAGCAGCTGGGTTGCAGGAAGGGGGGATTCTTGCTTGTGTTGCCCCCCAAAGTGGGGGGTCAGTCACAACACCATGGGGCTGCCTGGCACAAAACAAGGGGTTTGGGGGGACAGAGATGCTGTGGCTCTGGGGTACAGGAGTGTAGAGACAAATGGGGTGGTCTGAGCACCATGTGGGTGCAGGTTGAGCAGAGGAGACCGCAGTCCCTTTATCCTATGGGTGAAATTGGGGTGCAATGATGGGATGAGGTGACCCTTTGGGGGCTCAGCCATCCAAATGCCTGCTGCTGGGGGGGGAGGGTCCATCTTCCCTGTCCCCCACAGGCTGCTTCTCCTCCATGAAAGGTGGGAAACTGAGGCACAGGCACTGGCTGTAACTGTAAAATGCTCTGGACGTGGCTCGGCTGTACCCCTGGCACAGCTTGGCACTGTGTTCCCACAGCCAGTCCCAACCTGGTTTGTTTTCCAAGGGGTTTGAGTTGCAGCAGCTCCCGCGCTGGTCAGAGGGGCAGGGGCTGCTCCGCCCCGGGCCCCTGCGGACACAAAGATGGTTTGATTGAGTGGCCGGAGCTGACTGGGAATAAACGTCCCCTTGTGTCATGCTGGGGAGGCCACAGGGACAATGGTGACCCCGGGGCTGGCCAAGCCCCCTCCAGAGCCCAGTGGGGTGGGGGAGAACGGGAGCAGTGGCTGGATTTGGGGAGCAGTGGGTGGATTTGGGGTGCTCCACGGTATCACCCCTGTGATGAGGGATTTGATGGGTGGGAAGAAGAAGAAGGCAGCCCTGTGAGGGTGGGAGACACCCGGGGTGGAAGGGGTGGTGGGTGGGCAGTGCTTGGCTGCTCGGGTGCTGAGTCTTTGTCTGCCCTAACTAACTGTGGAGCTGCTGGGATGTGGGATGGCAGAGGTGCCCATGGTGTTTCCTGGTGATGGGGTGCAGGGGGGGCACAGGGAACTCTGCAGAAGTGGTGCTGAGTCTGCTGCTGCTCCTTGTCCTGCTGGTTAGCTCTGGACCCTAATGATAACAACCGAGCTTCTTGCTCTTCTTGAAACCGATTTTATGAGGACGATGGAAATGCTTTGTGATCCCAAGCCCAGAGGGAGCTCGGGGTCACCCTAAATCACCCCCCAAACCCCAAACCGACCCCACCCCAGCTCCACTGTGGTCCCCAGAACCCCAAAAC